GTATGTTATGTATTTGATTTTATTTGTCTCAAGATATATTCTTATTTCCTGGGGATTTTTTCTTTGACCCATTTAGTTGTTAATTTTTTTAATTGTCATACATTTATAGACTTTTCTATTTTTCTTTTCTTATTAATATCAAGCTTCATTCCATGCCATCAAAAAAGACACTTTGTATGATTTCAATTAAAAAAAATATCGAGTCCTATTTTATGACCTAATATATGATCTATTCTAAAGTGTTCCATGAGCACATCAGGAAAAAAATGATTATTATGTCATTGGTTCTATGTATGTCTGTTAGGTTCAGTTGGCTTATAGAATTGTCAAATTCTTCTTGAATTTCTGCATGATTGTTATGTTCATTATAAATGTAGGATATGGGGTATTTTACTATTTTCCTAGAACTGCCTATTTCTTCCTTCAATTCTGTAAATGTCTGCTTCATATATTTAGGAGTTCTGATGCTGGGTACATACAAATCAAAAACCATTATATGTTAGGTGATTTGATCATTTTATCATGAAATGCTTTTATCTACAAAGTCTTTCTTTGTCTCTTATAATAATTTTTAATTTAAAGTTTATTTTTTTCTTATGTTAGTATAAACATTCCTGTTCTCTTTTGGTTACTCATTGCATGGAATATTTTTTTTTCTATTTCTAAAAATTGTTCATAGTTTTCAATGATCTCTTCCCATCTTTTTAAGTCTATGAATATATTTCTAAAAATATACTTTAAAATACTAATTTGGTAGTTGCAATATACAGGTCATATCACTGTTTATGTCTATTTACTATTTTATTTAAAAATAAATAGTGTTTTCCAATTTCTTTGTGGAGTAGAGCTTAAAGATAATACTTTTTATCAAAACAATATTCTCTTATCTTCTCATAAAGAATTTTGAATTTTATTTCAGCAAATTAAGTTTGACAATTAAGTTTGCAAACATCCTAGCTACTTGCTGAATATCACCAATGGTCACCTTCAGAGACAGCACTCTCTTTGGGATGCTGTGACCTAGTCCACCCTTCAAAGCCATTTGGGAACTCTTCTTTTGTTATGGTCGTCAGAGGTGTCCTCATATTACCTTTGATGTCCTGATGTCAGCAAAATGTCTACCTTTCAATATTTCCTTTATCTTTGGTTAAAGAAAGAGGCCATTGGGGGGCCAGATTAAGTGACTAGGGAGTGCATTCCAATAGTTATTTATTTATTTATTGGCTTAAAACTTCCTCACAGTGCCACGTGAGCTGCTGCATTGTCATGATGTAAGAGTCATGAATTGTTGGCAAAATGTTTAGGTTGTTTTCATTTAACTTTTTCACATAGCCTTTTCAGCACTTCCAAATAGCAAACTCAGTTAACTGTTCAGTTAGTACAACTTCATAATGAACAATCCATCTGATATAATAAGTGTGAGCAGCAAATTTTTGACTCTTGATTTGGACTGATGAAATATTTTAGTCATTAAGAATTGGTTGACTTTCATTGTACACTTTCATTCTTTGTTTCAGGGTCCTATTGGTACACCCATGTTTCATCACCAGTGATAACATGACCCAAAACATTGTGTTGCTTCCCTAGAGGTTTTGGCAAACTTTGACTCTCCTTTGATCATTGGTGAGCAAAGGACCCAAAGGACCATTTTTGCACACACCTTTCTCAGGCCAAGATTTTCAGTTAAGATTTTCCTATCTCTTTAGCAATGTGTACTTGGTTTTCTCTGGTTATCACAGTCAACTAATGATTTTGACAATCATCACAATTTGAAGAACTTTACAGTGTTCTATTTGTTGCTGGTCACTCTGACTTCTCTTCATCAGTGATGCCTTCTCTTCACACAGAGAATGTTAAATCCATTTGTACATTGCCATTTTTCTTCTTGGCATTATTCCCATAAACTTGAACTAACATGTCTCTGATTGCACCTCTACTCTTGCAAAGGTTAACAAAAAATTTAATGTTTTCCCTTTGCTCTAATTCAAGCTGTGACATTCTTGTGACTGCACACAAAAACATGAGACAACAATAAATGAATGTCACTCAGCAAGACACCACTACATGTTGACTTGAACACAACTGTTAGACACTCTAACAAGTGTTATGAAACCTCTTCGAGTTGTTTGTACAGTGCTGCTAACATAAGCACACAGTGGGAAGTTTGCAAAATTGTTAGACCTTGTAAGTAAAATGCCAGCTATCACCTTGAAACTGTAGGGGCTTAGTTTTATGCTTTGTTAGGTTTGTCTCTTTCAGTTATGCCTCTCATCCTAGTGAAATATTGTAGTTCAAAAATTCAATTTTTATTCCAAACTCTTGGCTCTTCTTGAGATTCTTTGTTTATTTCAAGGTGCTAGCTGAGCTACTGGAACTTGGTGGGACTCAAATTCTAAATTCTAATTCTCCTAAATTAGTAGTAGTTGAAATCTCTGATTAACACTTACTGTCTTATATAAAATAGTTGTTGCTTTCTATTGGACTGGCCATGTGTCCTCTGTACATGGGTAATTTATCAGTCAATAATGAATATGAGAGAGTTTAAACTAGTATATTATGTCATCTCCCTTAGTGAGTTTCTTCTTTCTGGACATCACCCTCCTCCCCAAATTTTAGAAACTCTGGCCTCCCTTAAAAACATTTTCTCACATATCAAAATAAAAAGATAGCAAATTACTATTTGAATTCTTACCATTGGTTAATACGTAACACAGGAATATTCTCGAATATTCTCAGGAGACTTTTTCTCCATGAAAGGGGTAAAATGACCTTAGCCTTGTTTATTGAAAACATAAACAAATCTTGAGCTATTGCTTATAAGATCTTATATTTAAAAAAAATCCTACAACTCAAGCTCAGTTAATCAGATAAAAAATCAACTATCATAATTAAACAACTAGGAACTTTCTGGTGGGTTAGAAGATATGATGAAGAAGGTATAACAGTAAATAATTAAATATTGTCTTTGCTTTCTGTCCTATAAAAGACTCTTTCTTTTCCTTTGGTGGAGGTCTCAAATCTCTTTGGGTTTGGAGCTACCCAGTTAATGAATCATTGTTTGGTTAAATAAACTCTTTAAAAATTTAATTTTTGTGCTTCACTTTACCTTTTGAACAACACCATATGGAATATAGTGGAATATGTAGTTAGAAAACAAGCTAATATCTCTTACATTTTTCTGTCATATGGAAAGAAACCCCAAGAAAATATGGAAGTGCAGGAAATATTTTGAAAAATACAGTAAGTTTAAGGTGTCTGAAATGTATAATTGCCATTAAGCACAAGTTATTTACAATGCAGGATGGTTTAATTTGTTGATGTTTTCCAATTTTCTCTTGATGTTTACACAATCATAATAATATAAGAGGAAAGTTACAATGATCTGATCTGATTTTGAAGTCAGAATAATTTAAGAGGAATTTATAATTGCCATAAAGTATATTTTGAAAATATAATTGTGAACACATTCCTTAATATTAGAGCAATCATATGGCTAGAATTTTCTCAATAACCTGAAAGTGCTATAATGGTATAGTGTTTACATGACATCAAAATAAACATTTTTCAAGTAGTGAAATAATAGTTATGATCAAGGTTTGCATTCATGATTTCTGGAAGCAGTACATTTTCCACACTGACCTATATTAAAATTCAGCTGTCGGAATGTGAGTTGAATTTAGTGTCAATTTTTGATTTGTGAGGGTGATCATTAGTTGACATAAAACCAAATTTCATCGCCTACCTCCTAAGTACAGCTCCAAAGTGTCACTAATAATTACACCATCACACAGCCAATGATCTGACTTAGATTCTCAGTTCTTTTTGATTTTGTTAGTATGTGAGAAAGAATTTTGGTTATTATTTGGAATGGAGTAAATATTTGTTTCACTGTATTATCTCTTTGTCATCATTTTTTTCCTGTGGATATTTAGGAAACAAGCTAATTTCTCTTATGTTTTCCTGTCATACAAAAGATTTTTATTTTATAAATGGTGGTTGATTTTACCAGGCCCATTGTTGAAGTAGTTGCCAAAATATGCCATTTTGACACCTGACTAAAACTTAAGGCTTGCTTTGTGGTTATATGTGTACCCACATGCAATTATCCTAAATTGCTCATAAACAGAGATTACATGAGTAAATGTGATAGGCAGATACAAATCATTCATGGACCACTTCCCAGTCACCTGCAAAATATAATAACTAGAAACAAGCTGTATTCATTTCAACTCAGTAATGAATTGAAAACTACTTGTGACACCTAAATCATTTAGAAGTTACAATTCTACTGTAGAAGATAAAAACAAAAACAAAAACAAAAACACAGTGTAGAGGAGATAAGACCATTGATGTGACCCAGATGAGATCTAAGTAACTAAGTGACCCAGAGGTGGTGTATGTGGACAGAATGAAAAGGATACTTATAAAATATCTTACAAGTACCTACAGGATATCTTCCAAGGTATGAGCCAATGGAGGTGTCATTTAAATATGTTGAAAAATGAATAAATATTTTTATTCTCTGAAACTTGCCAGAGCAAGACCCCATTTCTAAAAATTAGCTAGGCATTGTGGTGAGTGCCTGTAGTCCCAGCTACTTGGGAGGCTGAGGCAAGAGAATCACTTGAATCCAAGAGTTTGAGTTTGTTGTGAGCTAAGATGACATGGCACTCTACCAAGGGTGACCAAGTGAGGCTCTCTCTCAAAAAACAAAAACAAATTTAAAAAACTAGTCTAATTTAATTAATACCTTAAGTCAAAATTGCCTATTCCCTCCATACCCCTATACAAAATTAGATCAGTCCATATGCTCTATAGGATTTTTCACTAAATCATAAAATCCATTCCCTTCTCCCAATGTGTGATATAATCACAAAAATTAATTTGATTATCAATTCACTAGAGGCCTCCTACCTCTTCTCTACCTCAGCCTTGTCACTTTTTTTGGTTTGTTTGTTTGATTCTTTAATATTTTTTATATGAAAAAAGAGATTTTTCTTTTTTCCAAAAATAGCACCAATATAAAGCAAAGCTCTAGTTGATGCCAGCATGTTGTGTAGGTGTTAACAGTACTGCCCTCAGTATGCACTTATTAGACAGTAGCACAACCCCAAGAAAAGGATAGTTAGCCTTGTCCCTATTAATAGATTCTCCAAACTATCTCATTACTGATCATTCTTAAACCACCTATCTGAGAAAGCAAGCCACCTACTTGGAATCCCTGAAGAGTGTGTAGTTTTCACTGTTTTCTTTCCTTTTCTGACTGCTGCCTACCACACTTATCCTGTTAAGGTGAAGTTATTCTCAATCAATTTAAGTCTGCATGTCATTTATTCTATAAATGACATAAATTAGCTAAAAGTAATAATAATTTACATCTGCTTGGAACAAGGTTTTTTCTCTGCTCAGAACACCTTCTACTCATACTTACTAATCTAACTGATACCCTAACACCTTTTTAACTTAGATCAATTATTCCATTCTTTAGGAAGCTTTCTTCTTATTGTGGTTATGATTTCAAAGGCTTCATTTGTGACTTCTTGTCATCCCAGCCCTGGTCCTAATACGTGACAAACAAAAGTGACTTCTTCATTTTCTGAATGTCTAACTAGACATGATTCCTTTAAAGATAATCTTATTTTTTAGTTACAGGGCCATTTCCATTTTTAGACACAAAGTGCTCAAGTAATGATTGTTGAATGAGAGACTAAATTAGTGAGATCTAATTTATTAAATTAATTGCTCACTTGGATAATGCATGCATTTATTGGACACTTACAATGTGCCATCAATATATAAAATACAAATTTTTCTTTCTCTGAAGAATTAGCAGTATGAAACACTTTTTGCCAAGAGCTTTGGTCAAAATGTTTGTGCAAAACAAATTCTGAACTATTCATTCTTCAGAACAAAATATCAATTAATTTAGCTATTTCTGCTCTTTTTAAAAATATATATGAAATGACATTGTCCTTTGTGCAAATACACTACGTTTATTCATCTTTTGATGCACTGTGGATTACTTCTACTTGGGGCTATTACAAATAATGCTTTTTTATGAACAAAGTTATGCATATTTTGGTGGACATACATATACATTTCTGTTGGTTATAGCCATTGGAGTGGCAGTGCTAACTCATAGAATATCAATATGGCTATCCTTGGCATATACAAAAAGTTTTTCAAGATCAGAACAAACACCTTATAAAAATGGAGATTTAAATGAACAAGAAACGTGAATAAGTACTCAACATCATTAGTCTTCAAACAAATGCAAGATAAAAACACATCACTTCGAAACTGGAATTCTTGCATGCTGCTGGTGGGATTGTATAAAAGTGTAATCAGTATGGAAAAGAGTATGATGGTTTATCAAAAAGTTAAAAATAGAATATGATAGGACAGTCCCACTTAGGACAGTTTCACTTATGCCCCCAAGCTGGAAGTAGGATCTTGAAGAGATAATCGTACACCCATTTTCATAGCAGTACTATGCACAATAGCCAAGAAGTGGCAGCAACCCAAAGGCCCATTGACAGAAGAATGGATAAACAAAGTGTGGTGCTTTCACACAGTGGAATACTATTCACCCTTGAAATGCTGTCACATACGACAGCATGGATGAACTTTGAGGACATTATGCTAAGTGAAATACAAGATAAGTATAGTGGCTCAAGCCTATAATCCCAGAACTCTGGGAAGCTGAAGCAGGAAGATTACTTGAGACCACGAACTTAGCAACAGAGTGAGACACACACACATGCCCAACCCCCAGCTACAAAAAATAAAAAAAATTAGCCAGGCACAATGGTGCACTTATAGTCCCACCTACTCAGAAAACTGAGGGAGGAGGATCACTTGAGCCCAGAAGTTTGAGGCTTCAGTGAGCTGTGATCACATCATTGTACTCTAGCCTGGGTGACAGAACAAGACTCTATCCCTAAAAAATAAATCTTTTAAAAATGCAAAAAAAAAAAAAAAAAGTTTTTCAAGATGCTGTACATATTTATGTTCTTATCAGCAGTAAAGAGGAATTCTTATTTCCCCACATCCTTACTAATAACCATGCTATAGTAGTTCAATTCTCAAGAATTAGAAATTAGGTTTAATTACCATTAATATAGTATTGAGCCAATATTTATGTATTTCTTGGAATATTAGAGTATCTACACATATGAACTACATGCCCTATTCTTTTTCCATTTTTTGCTTGTCTTTTCATAAGGAATTTTCTTTTTTGGATATTTATATGGTCTGGATTATTTTCATTTTCAAGACTTTTCTTAACAAAATTTCCTGCTATTTATTTATTTAAAACTTTTGGTTTTGAAATACTTATAGATTCCCAGTAAAAGACTGGTATTGAAAGAGGTCCTGTGTACATATCCCTCCATGATTACTTTTTACATAATCACCATGCATTATCAAATGTAAGAATTTGACATTAGCACAATACCTGCGAACAATAAATACTGTATCGTTTAATCACATGTCGAGATTCATGTAACTACCACCAAAATTAAGATGCAGAACTATTTCATCACAATATTAGCTTTATTAGGCCTGAACAGTAGTAAAATACCCCCTCTCCCACAGGAAAAGTATTGATTCTCCAGAGGTCGTCTTCTAATTTCTCCCGTCAAGGGGTGGGGAACTACCAAATTTCCATCAGGTGAAGAAGAAAGTCCAAACTCTCCATCTGGTCTCCACTGACACTATGGGAAGGGATCCCTTTTACTGCTAGTGGGAATGAAGTAAAATCCATCTCCCTCCTTCCACACCTCTGACATTGCCCTTGTGGGGAACTTGTGTTGCCTCATTGCAGCCTGGCAAAGGTAACAGTCTATACTCCCCACTCAGATCTCACCATCATGAGTGGGGGTAGCATTACAATATTTTATTATGGAGTACAATAGTTATTGTCTAAAACTTTCCTGGCTGCTAGTCTGCACCTTCCTTTTTATTTGCTTGTTAGTTTGTTTCAGTTTGTTTTTTGTTTCTTAGCTTAAAAGAACATTTATCCAAAAGACCATTATTTTGCCATTACTCTGTAGTGCCAGCTCTTAGATAAATTAAACCTTCATTTTTCTGAACTCTGTTTTATTTCATTGTTCTTTTTATTTATCTTATATGCATATCTGTTGGGTGTCCAGTGGACCCCAACCTGGGACAGTGGCCAGCAAGGGAGATGGTGCTGAGGAAAGAAACAGAAACTTACGCCAAACTTAGTGAATAAAACTGGAACCCTGTAAGTGCATACACTGTTCCATGTGCCTAGTGGCAGCGTGAGAATAATGCAGCACCTGTCCTGTTTCCTGGAATCTTTTTATTGGGTACATGACAGAGTACATATCCAAGTTAGTAGTCAGCAATCAAGGTTAAGAATGAGAGAGAGGGGAGACTACAGCCCCCAGATACATTGGGTAAAGGGTAAACAGGGACATAGGGTAATGTAACATCTGAAGAGGCCAGATAATGGTGTACCCAGAAGAGAGAGAGGGGAGAACAAGTCTCATCTCCTTAGACAGACATCTCTGCTTCTCTAGCCTAAGCTAGTAGTTGATAGTTTCAGTTGCCTACACTGCTGATTTCCCCCTGGAAGGTTAGTCATGTAGACATCCCTCCTACTCTCATTTGGAAGGTCCATGAGGCATTCAGCCTGTCCACCTCCCACATATATCTCACTTTCTTAATCATGTAATATGTCCTAATTTCAGGCAGTCTTAGTATCTGCTTCTCTCCCATTTCTTCTATTAGTTTATTTTGTTCTGTTTAATGTCTCTCAAAAATATTTTAATTTTTTTTTTTTGAGACAGAGCCTCAAGCTGTCCGCCTGGGTAGAGTGCCGTGGCATTACAGCTCACCGCAACCTCCAACTCCTGGGCTCAAGCGAGTCTCCTGCCTCCGCCTCCCAAGTAGCTGGGACCACAGGCGCCCGCCACAATGCCCGGCTATTTTTTTTTGGTTGCAGCCGTCATTGTTGTTTGGCGGGTCCGGGCTGGATTTGAACCCGCCACCTTAGGTGTAAGTGGCTGGTGCCTTAGCTGGTTGAGCTATAGGTGCCGAGCCAAAAAATATTTTAATTTTTAAACTTGGATATATGGTACATTTTTATTGGAATGATTCTTAGTGCATTTCATTCCCCTTTTCTTTGTTTATCTTTCATAATTAAAATTATTGACATCATGTTAAATCATGCTTATCAGATGGAAACTCAATATTCTAAATACCTCTGTTATCACCGAATCAATTTGTATATTCAATGGAATCACACACAAGATGCTAATAGATTATTCTATGTCAAGATAGATTTTAGAGGAAGAATAAGACTGAACACTGGATGTTTTCATCTTTACTTTAATGCTATAAAAGTATTAAGCATTATTGAAAACTGATCTTAGCTTCTTTCAAATGATGTTTCTTAAACATACCTGTATTGAATGGCACCTTGAATACATTCCATTTTTTAAAAATTTCAGATTAATATAAGGATACATATAATTGAATTACATTATTTTCATTTGTTAGGTAGCATCCAAGCTTGCTATTTCATATTTAAAAAAAAATACATTAATAGGATTGAGGGAACTTTAATTTTCTTATTAAATAATTTATGTTATCTTATTCTCAAAGTGAAGTTCATACAAAAAAAATACAGCCTTATGAAGAGAAGATAACTTTTGGAAGACAACACTCCTTCCTACTCCTAACCTACAGACTGATGGGATAAGGGAAATCAGACTTGTCTGGGCTTTTAGGGCTGGCTGAGGTGCTTTGCAGGTGTGCTTTGGTGGAGAAGAGTTTTGAGACTGCAGGTGAGAGTAGCTAGAGAGGTCAGTGCTTGACTAGACTCCACACTTGAGTGGAGAGCCAGGCCTATATCTCAGGAAAATAATGATTCATCTTAAATCCAATCTGATGCTCATTCTGTAACAGGAGAAGGAATTTTCTATAGAAACTGGTAAAATATGATCTCATCTTTTTAGCTTTTCTTTTAGCTAGCATTTTTTACTATCTAGAATTTGTAATTTCCTCCTTCAGATTTGCATTTATAGTAATGCAGAATTTCACTATTTAAACCTAAATAAACATGTCAATACATTATTAGAAAAGCATTTGGTATAAC